CAGCTTCAGCATGCCAGCTGGTAAAAACATTTGGGAGTCATCCGTCTGACAGCGATGCTAGAGCGTTGCCATCGAAACGCAGACGCTGGTCTGAGAAAGTGTGAATGTGTCCGTACACGCGGTCAGAGGGAATCCGATCAACCACGCAGCATGTCTGCAATCCAAAAGAAGAAGAAGAAGAGGCGCGTGTATCGTGATCGCCCCTTACACACGCAGACACACATGTGTTTACACACACACTCTCGGCCCCGCAAGCACACACACGTCCACAAACCGCTCGTGTTTTCCTTTCGGCCTCATGCCCTCTTGTCCCCTGCGTAAGTTCCAGGGTTGGCCAGTAAAGACCCACTCATCCATCAAAACGGTGATGCTCCGGGACTTCCTCCACGGCCTGCTAGGTCAACGCCGACGCGCGCACACACACACACACACACACACACTGAGAGAGAGAGGGGGGGTGGGGGGGGTTCGCATTTTGTTTCTCGTCTCATTTGCTGTGACTTTCCCCGTTGCTCTTTTCCCTCGCTCGCATCGCTCGCCTCTTCTCCGCACGTCCATGTAATTTGGGGAGAAAGGCGGGACAGAAGGCTGGAGGGGGCGGGGGGAGATGGGGGGGCGAAGGGTAGAAAAAGGACTGTTCTTTTCTCTTCTTCTCATCTCATTGCGCGTGGCGCACAGTGCCTCTTTTCATATCAACAGTGGGGACCTGGGAGATTTGACTGTTGGGTATTCAAACCGAGGCCACTGGGCCGGTCGGCATCAGCGACCCTCGCCGTCTCTCCATGTTTGGGAATGTAAAACGCAGTCCGAGAAGAATCTTTCCAAATAAATAGCACATTTTAAGCACAATAGACAGCACATTTTTGGTTTCCTCCTCCGCGCCTGCACACAGGTTTTTTTTAATTAAGCTTTGGACATCTTGTGTCCCCTACCCAAGATAAAACCACATGAAACCTTGCATGGCACTGCAACCTATGTGCAATCCTGCACACGCGCGCTGGTGTAACAATATCAGCAGTGCATCAAGCATATGCATGTCTCTCTCTCTCTCTCTCTCGCCCACCCTTCATGCTTGTCGGTGTGTTTGTGTGCGCGTGCGTGCACATGACATCTATCTGCTGGATTAAGAGCAATGTCCTGATCCCGTCGCTAAACTGGGCCACCGCTCCATGTGCGCAGTGAGATGCGCTGCATCAGAAGCTGCATCTCACACTGTGTGAATCCGGGCGGCGGGAAGCGATGAAACAACGGGGTTCTCTCCTCTGACCCTCGTTTGCCCCAACGCCAACGAGCTGCCACCCTCCCCCCCGCCGCTCAGAAGTCATAGTGAAAATACCAGCTGACGTACAACTCCTCGCGTTTGTGTGTGAGTGTGTGTTTAGCTACAATTACTGCCTTGTAGTAGTAGGTCATGCTCGATGTGACATCCACGTCTGTCCAAAATGTCACGCCGTCATCCTCTCATCCATCACGATGACCTTTCTGAGCCGGTATACTTAGGAGAGAGCGACAGGCGTGAGGTCACGGTTCCTCATTCCTTGTGAGCACGGATCATCCAAGTCATCTTCTGCAAAAGTCTCAAATCTCAAGACTCCACTTGACGTTCATAACCAGTTATTATTATGATGTATTCATCGACTAGCAAACAAAATGACTTTTGATGCAATACTAACTATTAATTACTAACTATTAATATGATGATTAGATGAATACAACAAACTGGTGCGCTTTGAGAACAACAACTGTAAAGCTTGCTGTGGGGGGGGGCAGCTGATTCGCTGTTCTCTGCTAGACGCAGTCAGGATGGTATCGCTACGTGTCACGGGTTACAAACCTGGTCATTGGCTGGATTTCACCAGCCAATGACCAGGTTGGATTTGAGGGTTATGCATTCCCATAGAACTATAGGAGGCCGCGTTGGCTGATTGACCTGTCAACGATGTAAAAGGTTTGTCAACCCCCCACGGGGACGCCGGCGCTGCTTAGGCCTACCGCGGGAGCCCCAGTTAGCGGTGCTAGATGCAGCTATCCGCCGGGTTCTAAGGTCAAAGGTCACTATTGTAGTTGACTTTGTCCTTTGCTTTTTGGGAAATCCAATGAGGTTTGGTCTTTTAGGTTTAAGACCCAGTCACTTGTTTTTATTCCACTTCTTAAGCTCCCAGGGGAAATGAAACGCCACTTCTGCCAACAAGCCCTTCACATTTTTTTAATTAATTCATTTTGACTACTTTGAAAGATCTGCCCTATCTCATTAAACCGCGTGAACTGCCAATACAGGATACAGTAACCTGGGGGAATATGCTGGACAGATAAGCGATTCTGGGATGGTATAAATAAGTCCCCTTACGAAC